ACTCGACCCCAAATCGGATTGGTATAAACCAAAACGCCAAGAACTGCTGCCTTCAGAGTTCAACTACTGTATTTAAAAATGTCTTGCAGCGATCACCTCCAAGATCCTCCAAGCTACATCAATGCTGCCACCCTATAACACAGCTGACACCTCTGTTGTTCATGCCACCTGGCAGTTTCCTTGTATGTAGGACTCTTTGTCGAACGAAATTCCCACCATCGGGGGTCCCTTCAACGTTATGTGACCTCTTGTGCACACATGTGCAGATATAAATACACAATCGACTTAGAACATGAATGACTCTGACTATGACCCTTGATTTTGGAGCCACCCGAAAATGCTGTCCCTCTCCAAACCGGGAGACCCAACAAGTTAGCAGTTAGGTACACTCTTTCCTGCTCCGCTACCGGTTCGCACGCCCCGGACCGTCCGTCAAGTCCACGGGTCGTCCAGGCCGTGCTCCCGGCACCAGCGTCTCGACTGGGCCTCGCTGCTGCCCTCGTGCCGGGAGCGCTCCCGCAGCCAGCTCTGGTAGACCTCGCTGCGCCGCCGCGACTCGCGGCGACTCGGACGCGGGACGTGTGCCCACGTGTGGTGCGCGGGACGTGGGCGAAGGAGGTGTCGAAAGCGGCGGATTTGATGCGATGTTGTTGGGCGAGTTTTGCTGCCACGTCGATGGACTGTTGCCACATTGTGGCCTGGCCTCCGCAGAACGTGAATTCACGTGTCCAAGGTTGTCGGCATGAATGAACTAGCAGGATTTAGCGGGGTAGATCTGGACCAGTGAATGCCATCGAGTAATTCCATGATTGAGGAAGGACAACTCAGTCCATGCTGCGATCTCTCATCATTGCTTGGAACTTCTTTGAGCCCAAATCCTCCCAGACTTCACCTGCACGAAGCGGTAACCCAAAGAACTCCAAGCAACTAAAGACCGAGCGGCCTCCTACTGCACCAGTACCTTCCTACACCACAGATGTTCAGGGTGTACACAGTGGACACTAGACATCCGCTTGGAGAGAGCCCAGCCACTACCCCTCCACCCCCAGCGGTTTCGTCATTCGGAGCCCTCCTGCAGTGTGGTGAAGAGGTCGCCACGCTTGTGGTCAAAGTGGCACCGGCCTGCGCATGGTCAAGTGGGCTGTGGCAGCGGGGCAGTGCAACAATTTGCACAAAAAATCCCTTTGGGACATGGCGGGGCTCGGTATGGGTCAAATCTCAAAAGACATGTGTTTATGCTTTCCTGAATGTGAATTATCCCCAGTCGCATGTCTTACCTTGGTCTCATGGTGGCCTACGTATGTGTGAGATTGCCCCATCCCCACATCCACCCGCCTCCATGCCGTTCACCATGCTTCTGCACGCGCGGGGAGTGCAGCCCGCTGGCAGAGGCCAGCACGACGGCGCTGCCCTGGACACCAAAGACCAAGGACAGCAGGAGCATCTTGCCTCAAGGCTGACATGTCGCACCACCCGGAAATTGGGACTCCACGTGTTTTGGTGGGATGTCTTCCATCAACAGTGGGCAGTAGTGTTGTGCACACTGCAGACTGCAATTCGGACTCCTCTCCCAGGGTCTGGTTGCCTGACTGTACCCACACCGAGGAGATCTTCGCAGAAGATGGCACTGCGTCAGAAAACTCACAAGACAATATGTTCAGAGTCACTCGCACAACTACCCTCGCACTAATTCCATTGCTTCTCCACCAGTCATGCCTGTGGGCGTTGGGCGTTGGATGTTTTTGAATCACCTCATGCAAAGCATACATCAGCGAGTTTGCACAAAGGCCTCCATCTTTCGCATGGATGCCCAACTGCCAACTCAGCATGGCAGGTCAACTGGACGGTTCTTCATCCATCTTCTACATCTTCCCCCTGCCCCTGCAGGCAGTCTTTAACCAGGAGTAGTTGTGGGGACCAACCAAGCGGATCCCACCGGCTCGCGGCTCCCATGCCCCCCCCGGTGGCATCGCCCCCCCGTCCTCTTCGGGTCGGACCCGAGCGGCCGATGCCTACGTCCACCGGCAGGCGAGAGAGGATCCGACCCAAAGGGGTGAGGGCCTGGACTCGGCAGCGACCCAGGCCGGACGGTCCGGGTCCGAGACTTGGGTGCTGTAAGAGCATTGATGGTGCCTGTACCACAACACCTGCAGGCGAGTTGGGCCAATTGGTTTGAATGAGATATATGCAACACAAAATGATGGATATGATTGGTGGATCTAAAAACCATTCGCTCATAGAAACGAACCTGCTGGATCCTGCTCCTGGAGCCACGAGGACAAGAACCCGAGCCACCTTCAGGCAAACACACTCTTCTGTCCTGGCATGTGTTCTACACTCCTAGCCTGCATACCATAAACGAATCTATATAGCGTATGTTATGATGATATATCATGTATGTTTGATGATCATCGCAAAAGTTTCTGGATATTGAAATCGATGGAAAGAAACTGGGTGATTCGACCGGCACCCTCAGCAGGGTATTCAAGAACCCTCCCCTTTCCACCCGGGCACCAGCAGCCGTTGTGGCACCCCTGCTTCGACCAGGCCTCAGTCGCTCGGCCGCTCGGCTGAGCTGGAGGCCTGGTGTCGTACCCTGTGCAGAATCAGAACGTCCGGGGTTTTCTTTCACCAAGCGTTGAGACCTGTATCGTTCCAGGGGTGATCCCCTGGACGCGCCGGGAGGCTGCCCCGAGGCCATCCGAGGCCCAAAAGAAGAAAAACCTAGACATCGAATCAAAGCCCGCAAAAACAATGTGAGATGAATGTGAGTCTTATATTGAACAAATATCATAAATGTGTGTGAGCGTCTTCATCCAGCTTGAAAACCTGCCATCAATTTGTGAGCCCATATCCAACGTCTTCCTCAAGTCTCCCCGACTCGG